CTACATCGACCTGACTGAAGGAACTTTTAAACAGAGATATACACAGCACAAGGCAACATTCAACCACAGAAAATACTCTAGCAGTACTGAACTCTCGAAACTTTCTCGAAACACGTCTGGCATCTCAAGGACAACACGATTAACTTTAGAATCGCATCATTGAATACAATCTCGCACTCTGTTTGGTTAATGAAGCGAGGTATTTAGGGTGGATTTGCGAGTTGAAAACGAGGCTGAGTGAAATTGTTTCGCATCTACGTAAGCATAACAACTATCGTCAAATCGTTACAAAGTTTGGTTTCTGAGCCAATTTAAAATGTTTCTAAAATCATTGTCACCTTTTAAAGAACCAGAAACAGAAAAGCGTTTCTCAAAGTGAGCCTGAGGTTCTTCCTTGTTTTGAACTGAACTATAAACTCTTGGAGAGGCATGAAAAACCTCTTTCGCTTGCGACAACGCGAAAGCGAGAAAATCCTGTAAACACGGCCCAGAAAAAACAATTCCCGAACTAACAGGTCACGCCAACCCGGGTTCAATATCCACCTACAGCCGTAATCTTTTAGAAAAACAACGAAGGATGTCGAGCAAGTTGGTTGGGTTTTCAGTCGTACTACTACGACTGTCACAGCTGCCAACGCCAGCGGCGGTCCACCCACGGAAGCTTTGCGAGAAATTATTGTCAACAGCCTTGCACTTGCATCAGTAGTCGGTAATAACACAACAACAATGAATAACGGTAGTGATGGTCTAACAGCAACAGTTCTAGGTGGACTGTTCACCAATGCATCGTTCAACAACTCTCCAGTGAACATTTGCATCAACTTTCAGTTGAATGCTCATCCCAACGATTCAGCTAATGGCAGTTGCCTGTAGTTAATTTCTACAAATAAAAAGATCAAAGTTTTGGACTTTTCATGAAACACTTCTTTCCTTTTAAAGGAATAAAATATCAATACACGTATTTACACTTCAAGGTACTTACCTTTTATTAATCGCAATGTTAAACTTTCAGTGCTTTCGCTTGCACACTTCATTTCTTTCCGTTTTGCCACCAAAGAGATAAAAGGTGTAAATTATTTTCCTTCTCGAGCAAATTCAGTGGATATACCTCTCTCTTTTGAATCTGGTCAGTACTTGTGAGGCTCTTCAACCAGTACTTCTCTGAGAAGCATAGTTTCGTGTTTCCTTTCCAAATAAAAAGTTCTCGTTTCGCTATCGCTACGAATTGAAGAAAGTCGGGAAAGTGTCAACCACATCACAACAATTCACTGTTTATATCCCTCATGTATGGTTAAAATTCAAAGGGTGAAAGTGCTTTTTAAGGCTCTCATTTTTCAATTTAAATTTATTCGACTGGCGATATGTTGTTTACGTGTGTAGACCTCAGAATTTCGTGAAAATAGGTCGACCAAAAAGTATCAAATACGAATGAAATCAGGGTTTGTAATAACATTCAATTCGATAAAACCTCTGTATACGGCTTTAAGTTTGCTTTTGCTGACTTAGAAAAAGACTAGGGTAAGTTTAAAATACAAAATACTCACCTTTCGAAACTCGTTCTCTAGAGGACGACTTCTGGTCAAAATCTCGTTGTCGACGAGCGGCGGACGACGAGTTTCCCGCTTCCGTGACAGTGTCACGCAGAGCTACGCATGCGCAATGTGAGCACGCTAGTAAACTCGTACTCGTACTCGTTCTCGTACTCGAATCTAAAGCTCTCTAATGTTATATACCGCTCTACACAAATGTGTATCGAGCCCTTTTTAACAGTGCTGGCTATAATTCACAATTAGTATATATATATAACTAACTATGATATTCCAGGTCACAAAGGCCCCCCTCCGATAGTCAGCGACCAGTTAGCGCAGCCACCTTCATATGTAATTTTACTATAATGAAATATCTTGTCTGACCTAGTCTTACCTCTGTTGCCAAACTCAAACCTCACGTCATCTCCAATCAGCGTGAACGAAGCCCTCTCAGACACTTTTTGTAAAGCCGTTATTTCTCATCCACTTCATGGCATGATGAAGAGATTCACTGGCACTTTTTCAATCAACAAGGTGTTCGTAGAACCGACTCATCAGCCGCTGCGTTGCTGAGTCTGGAATGGCCCAAAGTGCTATCAACACCGAGCGAGCACCAGATCCTAAGAACGAACGGGCAATTCCTATAACTCCCTCGGCTGTTACCTGTCCACTTCCACTGTGACAGCAACTAAGTACCACCAGTTTAGCTCTGACTTTCACGCGTGAGACATCAGCCATCGTCAACATATAAGCTTCCTTTGGTCGGATAGTGTTTGGACTGTTGGGAGTAGGAGTGGGGGCGAGAGCAATTTCTCCTCTTTCGGCGTTACCATGGCCAGCAAAATGTATCAAGCTCACTGAACTTATCCTATCAAGTACCGCCTGCTTCGTTGCTTTCTCTTCTACCAGGGGCGGAACGCCAACCAGTCGTCCGACCATCTCCGCTTCCTTTTTAGCACCTGGCAATGGCGGCAGCCAATCAACCTTGGGGTTGCCTATTATCAAAGCACCAATGTTGATGTGATAGTCCTCTGGACTGTCTTGAATGATCTTGAGTGTCGTCAAAGAAGGAATGACACGGATCCTACGAGTCTCAGAGAGGTACTCGGCTCCCTGGTTTTCACTCAGGGCAGCAAAGGGGACTTTGTACAAGATGCGGTCAGGAACACTAATGACTTCTGGCTCTTCGAGTAAATCATAAACTGGGGCAATAAAGATTTTGTAACACAACGACAGACTTGAAATGATATCCTTTTCCTCCTCCACAAGTCGAACCCTTCCTGAGCTCTTTTGCTTGGGGATAAGAGGTTGCGATTCAATCATATTTAAAGACCGATCTTCACAATCTCCAATGGGCAAAATACCCAGACTCTGGAGGTTATCAGCCAAAAATGTACTCAAAAGCAAATCTTTGGGAAACCCAGCCTGAACGAGACTCTCTTCTAGGGATATTCGTTTAAAGTGAATGGCTCCATCTGTTTTCAAGATCCACAAATGCACTTCAATTTCATGATTTGAAATGTAAAGACAAGTACAGTTCTTTTCCTTTCTCAAAATTTTTTCAATGCCAAACCAAGATTGTGTGTTAGCAGAGATGTGCGTTTCAACCGAGTACTTCTCTGCCATCAAGTTCGATAAGCCTCTCGCTCGACTTAACTCCTCAACATAAAGAGCATTACGAACATTTCCGCTGACACAAAGCAGAATGCTTAGCACCTTGTAGGGAAAAATTCCTGAGCTTTCCAGAAATGATGTTTTCAACTGATCATTGACGCCCAAGAAATTCCTCAACTCCTCATACTTTTCAATGCACAGGTGAAGACACGAAAGGGAGTCTTTGATTTTGATTTGATACAAAAACAAAACGACGTAATCTTGAAGGATCTCGAACTCTATCCTTTTATCTCCAATATCTCTGGATATGGATAATGCTCTCTCTAAGAGTACTTCAGAAGCTTCATAATCTCCGAGAATTAGAGACGTAACTCCTAGGTATCCAAGATTTGCTGCTTCCCCTCTCCTATCACCAATTTCAGTTCTAATAACGAGCTCTTTTTTGAGATACTCTTTAGCCTTGTGGTATTTCCCGAGCGACTGAAACACAATTCCTAGGCTTCCGTAACTTGAAGCTTTCCCTCTTCTGTCGCCAATTTCAGTATTAATGACAAGCGCTTTTTCGTGACACTTGATAGCCTTGTCGTGTTTCCCGGGCGAGTGAAACACAATACCTAGGTTTCCGTAACTTGAAGCTTCTCCTCTTCTGTCGCCAGTTTCAGTTTTGATGACAAGCGCTTTTTCGAGAGACTCTTTAGCCTTGTCGTACTGCCCGAGCGACTGAAAGACAGCACCCAGGTTTGTGTAGTCGCTAGCCTCTCCTTCTCTTTCGCCAGTTTCATTATTGATTACCAGCGCTTTTTCGTAATACTCGATAGCCTTGTCATATTTCCCGAGCGACTGAAAAACATTACCTAGGTCTCCGAAGTCGGCTGCCTCTCCTTCTCTGTCGCCAATTTCAGTTCTGATGACAAGTGCTTTTTCGAGATACTCTTTAGCTTTGTCGAATTTCCCCAGCGACTGAAACACAGAACCTAGGTTTCCATAACATAAAGCTTCTCCTCTTCTGTCTCCAATTTCAATAACAATGACAAGCGCTTTTTGGAGGTACCCTTTAGCCGTATCGTATTTCCCAAGCGACTTAAATACAGTACCTAGGTTTGCGAAGTCGGCTGCCTCTCCTTCTCTGTCGCCATTTTCATTTCTTATGACTAGCGCTTTTTCATGATACTCTTTAGCCTTGTCGTATTTCCCGAGCGACTAAAACACAGTACCTAGGTTTCTGTAGTTGGCTGCCTCTCCATTCCTGTCGCCAATTTCAGTTTTGATGACAAGCGCTTTTTCAAGATACTCTTTAGCCTTGTCGTATTTCCCGAGCGACTTTAACACACAACCTAGGTTTCCGTAGGCGGCTGCCTCTCCTTCTCTTTCTTCAATTTCAGTACAGATGACAAGCTTTTTCTCGAGATACTCTTTAGCCTTGTGGTATTTTCTGAGCCCTTGAAACACAGTACATAGGTTTTCGTATTCGACCGCCCCTCCTTTCCTGTCGCCAATTTCTGTTCTAATTAATGACAAGCCCTTTTTCGCAATATTCTTTAGCCTTGTCATATTTCCCAATCGACTTTACCATATGACCTAGGCTTCCGTAGTCAGCTGCCTCTTCTTCTCTGTTGCCAACTTCAGTACTGATGACGAGTGCTTTCTCGAGATACTCGATAGCCCTTTCTTATTTCCCGAGCGACTGAAACAGAATATCTAGGTTTCTGTAATTTGAAGCTTCTCCTCTTCTGTGGTCAATTTCAGTATTGACCAAAAGTGCTTTTTCGAGATACTCTTTAGCCTTGTCGTATTGCCCGAGCGAATGAAACATAGTACCTAAGTTTCCGTAATCGGCTGCCTCTCCTTCTCTGTTGCCAATTTTAGATCTGAAGGCAAGCGCTTTTTCATAGCAATCTTTAGCCTTGTCGTACTGCCCAAGCGACTGAAACACAGTACCTAGGTTTCCGTAGTCTAATGCATCTCCTATCCTGTCGCCAATTTCAGTTCTAATGACTAGCGCTTTTTCAAGGTACTCTGGCCTTGTCGTATTTTCCAAGCGACTGAAACACAGTACCTATGTTTCCGTAGTCGGCTGCATCTCCTTCTCTGTGGCCAATTTCAGTTCTGATGACAAGTGCTTTTCCGTAACACTCGATAGCCTTGTTGTATTTCCCGAGCAATTGAAACACAGTACCTAGGTTTCCGTAACTTGTTACTTCTCCTCTTGTGTCGCCAATTTCAGTTGTGATAACAAGCGCTTTTTCGAGATACTCTACAGCCTTGTTGTATTGCCCGAGCGACTGAAACACAGTACCTAGGTTTCCGTAACTTGTAACTTCTCCTCTTCTGTCGCCAATTTCAGTTGTGATGACAAGCGCTTTTTCGAGATACTCTTTAGCCTTGTCGTATTCCCTGAGCAACTTAAGCAACGCTCCTAGGTTTCCGTAACAAGATGCCTCTCCATTTTTGTCGCCTATTTTGATTCTTATGGCGGGGGCTCTCTCAATACACTCTTTGGCTTTTAGGTTTTCAGAAAGTTTATGAAACAATTCCTACTCTTTCACAAGCGTTTGCTTCTCCAATTTTTTCACCAGTTTGTCTCTTTATATCTACTGTTTGGCCTCTGTAAACCTATTTTGACTCTCAAGTATCTCTGCTAAAGCCATGCTTGTATCTCCTTTTTCTACTAAGTCACCAGACTCATTGCACAGGACAAGTAGTTTTTTTGCCGTATCTTTCCACACTTATGTAGTCAGAGATACGGCGATAAGCGCAAAAGAGGAGTTTACAGATGGTGCTGTAAAGTATTGAAATAAATTGGTATTTACTGTACTGGTTGGTGTTATTTAGCAAAATCAAGCATTCGCTGAATATCTCAATGGCTTTCTGGACGCGATCTGAGTTTAGCAGGAACAAGGCAACTAAGAAGGCTATGCTCACGGAAGTTATCATGGCTTCTACCGTGGGGTTTTCGACTGTCATCCTTTCCTGATATTAATCCAAATTAGGGAAACATCGTTTTTTGTAACACGAGTTAATCAATGACTAGATAATTTAGGTTCATTAAGAGTCACAACGAACAGGAAGCTATATGTGAACTTGAAAAAACTGGCTGGCCGGGGTCGATTTTTTTCGCTACCGGGGTGAGAGTGTTAGTATTCTTGGGTTTCACGTAACGTCACATCATTATGCAAATTAACCATCGGCCATATTGGTACCGCAAAGGTGACAAATATATTTTGGATATATCAACAAAGTTGAAATGGTAAATTGGCCACCGTAACGGTTACAAAAGCTGACGTTTCGAACGTTAGCCCTTCGTCGGAGCGAAGGGCTGACGGTCGAAACGTCAGCTTTTGTAACCGTTTAACCGTAAACGTCAGCTTTTGTAACCCTTCGCTCCGACGAAGGACTAACGCTCGAAACGTCAGCTTTTGCAACCGTTACGGTGGCCAATTTACCATTTCAACTTTGTTGATATATCCAAAATATATTTGTCACCTTTGCGGTACCAATATGGCCGATGGTTAATTTGCATAATGATGTGACGTTACGTGAAACCCAAGAATACTAACACTCTCACCCCGGTAGCGAAAAAAATCGACCCCGGCCAGCCAGTTTTTTCAAGTTCACATATAGCTTCCTGTTCGTTGTGACTCTTAATGAACCTAAATTATCTAGTCATTGATTAACTTGTGTTACAAAAAACGATGTTTCCCTAATTTGGATTAATATCAGGAAAGGATGACAGTCGAAAACCCCACGGTAGAAGCCATGATAACTTCCGTGAGCATAGCCTTCTTAGTTGCCTTGTTCCTGCTAAACTCAGATCGCGTCCAGAAAGCCATTGAGATATTCAGCGAATGCTTGATTTTGCTAAATAACACCAACCAGTACAGTAAATACCAATTTATTTCAATACTTTACAGCACCATCTGTAAACTCCTCTTTTGCGCTTATCGCCGTATCTCTGACTACATAAGTG